CGCGTCCGCGTAGGAGATGTGCTACGCACGTTCGCTCGCGCTCCAGTCTACCCAGGAGTAGGAGTCCCGCACGCGCTGCACGCACGCGCTGTGCTCACCTGACCACCTCGCGCGCCTCTGCGCTCACGCCTGTGCATCCGCGCCCAGCAGCGTGCAGCAGCAGCGCGCACCAGCAGCCCAGTGTGCGTGCACCCCACGGCCAGTAGAACAGTTCCCGTGCTCAGCGACCAGACCCAACCCCAACCAGCCCAGTCCGACCCAGACCCGGTCCAGACCATTCTAACCCAGTTAAGCCCGATCCAGTTAGCCCGGTTCGTGCCCGAGATGGTTTCCGAGCGGCCCGAGGAGTCCAACTCACTTGCCGAAGGTCTGAGACCATCCGATGAGCTTGATGAGAGATTGGAGCACCTTGATGACTCGATTAGGATCGAGAAAGGCCAAGTTCAGCTGCCATTAGACTTTGGTGTTCAGACGATCTCCATCAACGAAAATCAGAAACGTCTCAGAGTCGGCAAAAATTTTAAACCGTAAGTCCTAATCCTAAGTATAAATCTTGCTGCGTTAGGATTTATTATTCAATAGATTTGAATTTGCACATTGCCGACGTTTCTAATAGAACCCAACAACTGGTATCAGAGCCCAGGCTAATTCGTCTTTGTGCACTATATGTGAATTAATTGTGTACAGACGCAGCGCAAGATTAGAATTGCAAATAAGTGTGTTTGCAGGTATTCTTGAATCCGACTGTTATAGCCCGCATGTATGTTTGTTTTTAATTCATGTATGTCATTTTATAAGCCTCGGACATGTCGACAATTTTTTGTGTTGGTGAATGCTTGTAATAATTTATTTGCGCGGTGGGACACCGCATAGTTTAAATGCTTTACTAGATCATTCATGTAAGACCCCTACGTGGGCCATAGGATCAATGTATGTAATTGTTCGCTGGACCCGGTAAGCGCGGACATCTCTCGACGAGACGAGGCAGGCTACCCTGCGAACCCGTAGTTGATGGGATACGTGGTACTGTGCAAATGCAGACATACTCGTAGGCAGCTTGCTGTCAGATACGAGTATTGTTAAGGTGTTTGCAGACGGATATGCATGGACCCAGGTTGACAGAAGTACGACGACGGCGACAGTAGACACACGCCAACGGATGAGACCCGATAGCGACTTTTCCGGTGGCAGCTTGTTCAAGAAGAAAAGTGGGAGTCACGGCGAAAAAGGAAATTCCAAGTCCTGAATCGGAACACCCAGTTCAACAAGGACAAGACTGCGTTTCGTGAAAGATTGGAGAATGATTAAATGTCCATGACAGTTGGATTTTAGTTCCTCGTTTATTATTGCCTATTAATCATGCATGTTCTTATGTGATTTAATTGCTCTATGTGCAAATTGAATTATCAGGAGCATGTTAGGAAAATCCCTTTGAAAAAACAAATTATATTAAGTGTGTAATGGGTTGAAATAAATAACATCCAAGGCCTCCATTATAGGTTGGTCAGTGAAGTGATTTAAATCGAGCCCAAAGGACGTTTTGTTTCACAGTTCACAAGGACGAATCTCCTTCGGGATGGTTATAGTGAGCTATTTCAAAAGCGTACGGGTCACCCAAAGGTGGACGTATAATTTTGGTAGTAAACTTAGGACCTATTAATGGGTTACGCTTAAAGTGCAAATAATTACGATATTCCCAAA